AACAACAACAACAACAACAACAACAACAACAGCAACAACAACAGCAACAACAACAACAACAACAGCAACAACAACAGCAACAACAACAACAGCAACAACAACAGCAACAACAACAACAACAACAACAACAGCAACAACAACAGCAACAACAATAGCAACAACAGCAACAACAACAACAACAGCAACAACGACAACAACAACGCATCTATTCATAGTACCTGTATCACACTCTTGATACAGGCGATCTGCTGAATATCAAATGAATCCCGTGAAATAAGGGTGTCCTAAAAAATGGATCACGTGACGCGCTGGGGGCCATATGTCACGTGGCAAAAACCCAATAACGTGGCTACAGTGTACATAAATGCCCCATAAACAAGCGAAGGGGCAAACTGAATTTTAAAACGACAAAAAATAAAAATAACAATGATAACAATAATATTATTAATAATAAAAATGATATTGATAATAATAATAATAATAACAATGGTAGAGAAATAACAAAACGAAAATTATTTAATTTTTAAGGAATTAATAGCAGAAATATTACAAAGAAAACATAGTATGCATTTTCTACCTATAACATCTGTAATCGAAAATTATGAATAAAAACAGCACATAAACACTAACAACGTTGATAATAATAATAACAACAACAACAAATAGCGACAAAATTCATATGCGTTATAACTTTTTAACGAAACATTGAGAATTCGGTGACAAAAATGCTAATTTCTCGAAACGAAAATTCGCGGAAAATTCGCGCTCAAACAAGACGATAATAATCACAACAAATAATGACATTTAAATAATAAATGATAATAATAATTAATTATAATATCATATATTTTAATAATTTTCAAACCCTTTCAAGATAAAGTCATAGTGTGAAAGGTTTATTAGGGTGATATTAGTTTTAAATTTCGTGACTGGTGAGTTTAACAACTGAATAAGCTACATGTATTTCTTAGAGTGTATCACAAATGCGTACAATTACATACTATTTATTCCCTAATGAATTAAAATATGAATTGGAAATTTGTAATATTTAGAGATTTAATTCTCCACTGATAAATAAATATAAATATAAAAATGGATGAGTAGATGAATGAATGAAAGAATTAATGACTGAATGAATGAATAAATTAATTAAACAATCATATTATTAAATTAACTCAATGCTAACCCCTTGCTAGTAAGCTAGTTTTCTAGTACAAAACCAGTTCAAATCATAAATGAAATAATAATTTATGATGTTGATAAACTGTTCACAGAATTTTGTACGCTTTGTTAAGGTTAATCATTCATTGTTATTACCTTATTTTCCTTATCATTAACAATTAATTATCTTCAATAAGCCACCTTCATTTGAATTTTAATTAATAATGAAACGTTTCACAAATCACGCAATTAATTATTATAAAAGTTGCTCAAGCTTATGGAATAAAAAATCTTCAACGCGAAGAAAATTCCTAAGTCTGGTCATTTTTATACATACTCAACTTCGTCATACACTACCGCATCACCTCTCTCTCTCTCTCTCTCTTTCTCTCTTTCTTTCACTCACTCTCTCTCTCTCTCTCTCTCTCAATTTTTCTTTCTTTTTTTTTCTCTATATACTTTTATATATTTGTATGTTGTCATACACATCTACATGTACATGTGTGCGTGTGCGTGTATGTATGCGTGTGTGAGTGTGTGTGTGTGTGTACGAGTGTGAGTGTGTGTGTGTGTATGCGTGTGGGTGTTGTGCGTATGTGCGTGTGTGTTGCATATAAATGATAATCATATACCTGCGTTCGATTTTTATTTGTTGTGTGGTTTGTGACTATTGGTAATGTGGTTTATTTGTGAAAAAATTAAAAATTGAATAAAAGAAGAAAGAGAAAGAAAAGAGAAAAAGAGAAAAAATGAGACGGAGAGAAAAAGAAGGAGAGGAAGAAAAAAAAAGAGAGAGATTAATTCTCCTTTATATTCTCATTAATACCGATCTGCTTTATTTATTGGCGCGTGTCCTTACGTACACTTAAACATGGACGCGTATAAAATAATAATGTTTATAATTATTTGTAATAATAATAATACTAATATATTATTATTATTATTGGGTGAATATTTGCGGTGAGTAGAATGTTCAACGATCAAACCCCATCTCAACCCTCCCCAGCAACTGTGGACGTTTTAATGGAAAAATAATAATACATTTTATTTTTAAAATTTGTCTTCTTTTTCTCCTCCTTCTTCTTTTTGTTCTTTTTTTTGTTCTTGTTTTTTTTGTTTTTCTTCTCCTTCTCCTTTTTTTTCTTCTTCTTCTTATTGTTATTATAATAAGCAAAGTCGTTATTATTATTAATATTATTATATATTATTATGATTATAATTGATTTAGAATAGCATTTGTCAGCTAAAAAGATACATGCGCTGGTATTTAAAATACCGATATAAAGAACGAACCGAGATAAAAAAGAGAAAGAGAGAGAAAGAAAGAAAGAGAGAGAGAAATAGAAAAATAGAGAAAAGAGAGAGAAAGAGAGTGAGAGACGGAAAAAAGAAAAAAACAGAGTAAAACAAATTAATAAAATTTAAAAGAAAAAGTATTGGATACATTACACATAATTTCAAATATTTTTTTATTTACCTCAAAATTTGATAATTTCATTAAGATGACACAAAATAATTTGCCTCTAGATTTTTATTAAGAACTAATTCCAATCATCTTCAAAAGATTACTAATATCATTATTATAGCTAGTTTAATCATATTCATTGCCATCATCATCATCGTCATCACCATTGTCGTCATCGTCATCATCATCCTCCTAATCACCATCATCATGATCAGCAGCACCATCTATGTCTGCACCATCTCTACCATCAATAGAGTTACCATCATCATCATCATCACCATCATCATCATCACCATCATCACCAATCATCATCATCATCATCATCATCATCATCATTATCATTGTTAAATTTATTTTTATCAAAATGATTATTTTTCTGGATGCGTTTTTGTTGGTGATTTCATTAGTAGTAGTAGTACTAGCAATAATAGTAGTAGTAGAAGTAGCAGCAGCAACAGTAGTAGTAGTAATAGTAGTTAATGAATTAGCAGCTACAATAGTAGTAGTAGCGGTAGTAATAGTATTAGTAGCATCAGTATTATCATAGTTACTATAATTATCATTATTATTAATATTATTATTATTATTTTAATTGATAAATTTAACAGACCGGGAAGTTCAATAAATAAATTTAATTGCTTTTTCCGCTCTTTGTACTTCTATGTATCTCTTTTGTATTTCTTTGTATACTTTTTGTATTGTTTTATATCTCTTTGTATTTTTTATTTCGTGCCTTTTGTATTTATTTTGTGTTTTTGTTATAATATTTTTAAACACAACTAAGAATTTTTCTCTTTTTGTTAATGTTGACAGTTACAGTTTTGTTGACAGTTTTCAACCTGCCGACTAGTTAAAACTATTTCTACTGTAGTTGTTGTTATAATTATTATTGTTGTCACTATCATTATTAGTATTATCATTTTTTTTCTAATTCTTCTTCTTTTTTTTCTTATTAATATTATTACAAATGCACTTATCAGTTTCGGGAAACGAGCTACGTGTAATACACTATTTAATTTCATCTTAATTAAAAAATTTTTTATTCTCGTACTCTTCTATTAAACTCTTTTCCACGTAAAATCATTTCTTTCGAGTAAATGGGAGTTGTTCTTGTTATTATTATTATTTACATTATTATTATTGTTTTTGTTGTTTTGCACTTCTGGCAGACTCATTTTTTCTGTTTCTCTGATTGGTCCAGTTTACACTGCTGCCATTAGCGGTGTGGTTTTTGTTTAAGTTACTTTTATTATTAATTGTATTAATAATATTTTTATTATCGTTATTTGTTTTGTTGCTGCTGTTGTTGTTGTTATTAATATTAATGTTATTGTTGTTATTCTTGCTGTTATTTCGTTTAGTTGTATTATATCTCGCACTTTTTATTTGAACGAAACCCCGACTAAACACGGTGTCGTTGTTTAACTCTTCGTTGTTTGGCAACATGTTTTTGTTGATGTTGTTGTTGTTGTTTTTGTTGTTGTTGTTGTTGATGTTGTTGACGATGACGTCACTGAGGTGATTGTACAGAACTTTTGAGTTGTAGCGTCTGAAGCCTGCGTGGAGGTAGACGTGATCACCGTCATCGTTGTCGTCATCTTCGTCATCATTACTGCTGTTGTCGTAAGTAAAGTTGTCCTGGCCAATTGCTGACGTCATAGGGATGTGTGGAATACGTTTGGATAAATTTTTATAGCGCTGAATATTTTTCCGTCTCAGGAGAACTATTTTTATTGAAATGGAAGCTACTAGAATGCTGACGATGATGACGCTGGTGAAAATGGTGGCAGCGATGCCAACCACTGTCGATGGTTTCTTTGATGGAAGCGTGAATGGGAGAAGGTTTTCTGTGATTTTTTGAGTTATGTGTTGTTGTTTAATGTGTGTTCCTATGTGCAATTATATGCAGGTGTGTGTGTGAGTTTTTGTGTGACTATAAGTTTCAATGTGTGTGTGTGTGTGTGTGTGTGTGTGTGTGTGTGTGTGTGTGTGTGTGTGATGTTAACTTTCATCTTCACTTTCATCTTCAGAATTCAATTTCAGTTATTTATTAAACAGAAATTTATCAATGATTGGATTAATTATCTTTTTAGTGTTTTAATTTAATTTAATTTAATTTACCTGATTTGGTTTTGTTGCTAATTGAAAAGTTTGCTGCAGAAGATGACGACGACGATGATTGTGATAAAGATGGTGAGGATGGCGATGGAAGCAGTAATGATGATGATATCGTTTCATCTTGGCCTCTCTCTATTTCATCAGCATCTTCGTTGTTTCGATTACCATTGCTACCTTTTATTTTACCATCATTAATATTTGTTACGTCACCTTCGAACACGTGGTATGGGACGTCAGATTCATCGCACGGCCAATCAAAACGCTCCTCGCAGTGACCCAATAAAATCCCGCTTTCTGATTGGCTGAGAACAACATTGATCTTGTCGTACGTGTGGCCTTGAATGCTGACGTCATTTATGTGACCTCGGAATGAAACTGTATTAGATTTTTTTAGTCATTATTTTTTTTTGAAAAAAAGTTATAAAACCTATAAAAAAAATTTCTTTTAAAAACTGTTTTTCACTATTTTTTGAAGGATTCAATAAAAAAAATTTAATTCTACCTGTATTTTTATCATCTGGTGACGAGCCCAAGAAGCATAAGTTTGCGCTCGTGTGGTCAACCTTGTTGTCGTAGTTGATGTTGTCGATGATGACGTCATCCATGGTATCATTTTCCTGTCTTCTACTGCTTCCCTTCGTGCCTCCATTTTGTGTCTTGCCGTGAATAAATGATCGAGTCGAATTGTCCAGCTTTAACTTTCTGATAAAAAAAAACTAAATAATAATAATTAAACGACTTATCCTATCAGAATCAATTTGTCTTGTTTGCTTTTTAAAAAGATGCAATCGGCTGATACACAAATGAAAAATGGCGATGACGATGATGATGATGACTACGACTTCAATTTGACGATGTTGCTATGATTCAATGTGCATTTAATTATAAATATTACTCTAAATTTTTTTATAATTATTATTTTCAATTATAAATCTTTTAAAAATTATGGGAACATTTTGTTGGCCAGTAGTTTCAGCTTGATTGTATGCCAGAATCCGTCGGAGATTTTGCCACCTAACGAATGTTTCGTCACTATTGAGTCCTTATCTCTGGCCGTCAGCATCAGCTTCTCACCCAGCAACGCCAGCTGTTGGTGATTAGTTGGGAAAAACTATTTTAAAAGTATGAATGAGCGAGTAAGTAAGTGAGGGAATGAGGGAATGAGTGATGAGTGAGTGAGTGAGTGAGTGAGTGAGTGGGTGAGTGAGTGAGTGAGTGAGTGAGTGAGTGAGTGAATAAGTGAATGAATAAACGATTGAGTAATTAAGGGGTAAAAATAAATTCTGATAACTTTTAATATATTATCGCCTTCAAAGTAGCATGATATTATCTGTCCGTCACTTTGGGATGTTCTTAATTTCAACTCTAACATTAAACTTTCACTTGATGGTGATGAAGATAGCTGTCTAGTTTTAGCTGATAATGATGATGATGATGATGATGTGAATGACGATGATGACGACAACGACGACGAAGATGGTGATAATGATGATGACGATGATGATAATGATGATGTTGATTCAGACATCAAAGGCAATGGTGATGATGGTGATAGTATTGATGTTGAGGGTGATAAATGTGATGATGATAACAAAGAAGAGGAAGAAGACGGTGGTGGTGATAGAGATGAAGATGGTGATAAATAAAACAATTTGACAGAAGTTTTTTCCCCCTTGAACAGCCAGCATGCTGTCCTTTCATTGAAGCAGCCTTTGATTTGTTGTCTCGTGTTATGAAATTTTGTTGTTGGTGATGTGTTGATGTTGCCAACTATATTGTTGTTGTTGTTGATGATGATGTTGGTGTTGTTGTTCTGTTCTGTAATGTTAACTTTGTGTGAATTTTTGTTTTTGCTCTTTTTAAAACTCTTATTACTGCTTCTGTCGGCTTTATTACCAACAATATTCCGAACGCCGTTAAATTTGTTGACATCACGTGACCGGCACTTGCTGACGTCATCATCATCATCATTGACGCTCCACAGATATGTCAACACGTCGTAATCGTTAATGGTGACGTCATTTAAGCATCCAACAAAGTTCAGTGCACTTTTCAGACCTGGGGAGTGAGTAATAAACAGGTTACATTGGAAAACAAAAAAAATGCAATAGTAGTAGTAGTAGTAACAGTTGCATCATTTTTTCTTTAGCATCATTCTAACTCACCCATGTACCCGCTCTCTCTATCAATTCCACCAAGATGGATGAATGGAGGGAGGATGATCACGTGATCGAGAGACGACGACGACGTCATCATCTTCGTGACATCATCAACGTGGATGCGATAAGCGGTCGGAGCGATTTTTGTCAGTGTGAAGTTGTGCCACCTGGTGGAAATAATTTAGTGGGAAATTTTTTTTTGTCTATTTTCAAATTGAAAAAAAATAAAAAACTGCTAATTAAAATTCATCTTCATTCGGAGAATTGAAAATTTTCTGAACAATCGAGTCCCAGTTTTTGATTAGAAAAGTTAATCCGAAGAACTTAATGAAGCAATGATGAAGCAGTCAAAAAGCCCCGAGTGAGACGTTCAAGTTTTAACGTTTAAAAAGATTTTAAGCAGCTAATTTGTCATCATCATCATTCTATCACCATCATCTTAATGCAGTCCTATTTATCATCATTAGCACCATCATCATCTTCATCATCTTGATATCCAGTAGCATCATAACACTCCACCACGACAACCTCCAACCCCACCACCACAAGCATCACCACCACCGACCTATCGTCATCATAGGGTCCAGTAAAAACAAGATCCTGTATTTCGTCATACTCGAATTTTTCAGCAAACAACATGGACACATGAACGGACGCGCCGAATAATGATACGGCCAGATAACTGACCAACGGTAGCGAGCTTAAACTGTGAAGCAGTATGCCTTCCGCAGATTTCGTCTGTCCGTACGTACATTCATTTTGAAGAGTTTATAATTTATATTATTTTCATTGCTGTTATTATTGTTAGTATTTGTTTGTGGATGTGGTTTTTTTTGTATTTATTAAACTTTGATAGGCTAATGCTTAGATACACAAACACAAAAACAAACAGACATGAACGAACACAAACGTAAGCATACAAAACATAAACAAAACATAAACAAACAAGACAAACATACATAAACGAAGAAAATCTGACCTTAAAAAGGATGGATACACGTTTGAAAGTGGGCGCCAACCATTCAAAAGACCTGGATACAATGTCAGGATCGTATGCACGGAATGTTATCCAGCCATCACCCAACATCGTTACTGATGATGATACTGTTGTGATGATGATGACGATGGTGATGATGATGACGATGATGATGATATGATGATACTGTAGTGATGATGATACTGTAGTGATGATGATGATGATGGTGGTGGTGGTGGTAGTGGTGGTGATGATGACAAAAATGATGAAACACTGATAACGCTGACAATGATGATAATAAATTAGTGATTACACTAGTATTGGAGATTGGGAAACAAAGATGATAAATGATTATTTTACTCATGTTGTTATCTTTGCCATTAATTTTGCTTATGTTTTTCGATTTTTATGTCTACATGTGCATGTTTGTGTGTGTGTGTGTGTGTGTGTGAGTGTGTATGCAAATATATCAGATAACTTCCGAACGTATTGTCCGTGTATTTGCACAATTTAATGCATATTTATGTATGAATGGGTCTCAATAACACCTTTGTTACTGTAAAAAAAGATTTGTATGCGTGTGTGCGTGCGTGTGTGTGTTTGTATGTTTTTTGTATGTGTGTATGTATGTTTTTTTGTATGTGTTTATGAATGCATTTGTGCAAAAATAAGTTTGTAAGTAAATAATATTAATAATGGACTCAAGATAAATAAAGACATGTACTGTGCCATGGAAAGCAAAATATACACATATATTGTAGGTGTGTTTGTTTTGTACGTGAAACATGAATACAACTTTGCATCTATATTTGTTTGTATGTTTAATAAATGTTTGTATGTTTAATGTTTAATACAATGAAAAACTCGCTATCGTAAGTCATCATGCATTCATCTTTTCTGGCAATGTTAATTAAAAAATTTTTAAATGTTCGCGTGTGTGTTTGTATGTAAGTGTACGCGTGCGTGCGTGTGTGCGTGCGTGTATTTATGTGTGATGATGATGATGGTGACGATGATGATGATGGTGATGATGCTTTTTGTTAAGATAACAACAACATACCGCTTTGGTTACGTTCGTGAATATTTTCGTTGTTGCTTATTATATGTTTTTTATTTATATTAAAAGATTCTTTGTTATTATCATTATTATCGTTACTACTACTACTACTATTACTACTTCTACTACTACTACTACTACTACTACTACCACTACTACCACTACTACTACTACTACTACTACTACTGTCATTGTTGTTGCTGCTGCTGCTACTACTACTTTTATTATTATTTTTATTATTATTATTATCATTATTGTTATTATTATTACTGTGATTGCGACTTATACCACCAATATTTTTGTCACCATCCTCATCATTTTTATCATCGCCAGCCTCTTCTTCTCCTTCATCATCATTATTATTGTTATCATTGTCATTTTGATCATTATCATCATCACCATCATTTCGATCATGATCATCCTCACCATCATTTTGATCATTATTATCGTCACTACCATTTCGATCATCATCATCGTCACCACCATTTTGGACATCATCATCATCATCATCATCATCATTTTGGAAATCATTATCGGCATCGCTTTTTTCATCTTTGTAGTCATTTTCTTTAGTAATATGATGCTTCTCTGATCTCGCGTGTGTCTCTATATTTAATTTCCTCACCGATGATGATGATGACGATGGTTTTGATAATGATGACGATGGTTTTTGTGATGATGATGATGATGGTTTTTGAGATGATGATAGCTTTTGTGATGATGATGATGATACTTGGTATGGCGGGATGAAAAAGTTCGGCGAGTCAGTTTTCAATGATGAAGACGAAGTTGAGGATGATGAGGCGGCTGCAGTTGCTGCTGCTAATGATGATGATGAAGAGCCTCTTGAAAAAGAGAATGATGATGATGATGATGGTGATGATGAGGATGACCAAACTGAAACATTCGGTGGTAGTATTGTTCCGACAAAGCCTACAAATGTGATAACGTTCGTTTACCAGACTGGCGTTGAGTCTGAAGAACCTTACAAAAATTACAACTTACTAAAAAAAAGCATTACACAAAAATCACACAAAGTATGAAGAGTTTCTTTGCATTTCAACCTGGCTCCAATGGGATGGGATACTTCAATTTTGAATAAAACTTGTTAAATTTAACAAAAGTGACCAAAATTTAAACGAAAATTTGCTACAAATATAGAATTAAGAAAATTTTAGAACACACCTTCAATGGTAATGATGACCGATTCCTTCCATCCATCAATCAAACTCATCCAAAATGACCTCTCCCTCATTTTGACGCATTCATTCATTCCATCTTCACGCTTCTGCGACTTGACCCAATTTTTTCGCTTCCGTTTAACGTGACCTAGTTGCACGCAGAGATCTGATTGGCTGACGGAGATGATAATTACTTGCCAGGAGTTGTCAATCAGAGCTGACGTAGTTTTAAGTGGGGTCATTAGAACAACAACAAAATCAACAACAACGACAACAACAACAACAACAACAATAATAATAATAAATGTGAATATGATGATGGTTTCAGCTTTTGAAATGATGATTTTTTTTATTACCTATAAAATGATGACTGATTATCATGATCGTAATTTCGGCAACGACGTCGACGATGATGATGCTGATGATGATGAGGATGATGATGTCGATGAGGATGATGATGAAGATGATGATGAGGACGATGACGATGAAGATGATTTTTAAATGTTAAAGGTTGCAGTGATTTAAATGTCTCTACGTCTGGCATCAATCGCATTAAATGCCAAACAACTTTTCGTTACCGCAATCGTACAACAATAACCAGAATAGCAAGATTAATTAAATTCCAAAATTAATCCGAACGAATGATGGATGGATGGATGGAAAGAAGGAAAAAAATAAAAGAATGAATGAATGTGATTGGAGGAATGTTACGGCCTTGTATTAATTAAATCTATGCGTCACTACGCGCGTCTAACTGCTTTGTGCTTATATGTATGCGTTTGTATCTTTGTGTGTGTGTGTGTGTGTGTGCGTGCGTGCGTGTTTGTATGTATGAATGTATGGTGTGTGTGTCTGTATGTGCGAGTATTTTTATATATGTGAGTGTATGTTCTTATAAAATTATTATTTTATGTATTTTTTTATGTCTACGGTAATTATTTTGCATACATTTTCAACATAATCCCGTCGCTATCAGCGTTATCATCATCACCAAAATTATTCCCATCATTATCGAAATCACCATCGTCATTAACGCCATCATCAAAGAAATCATTATCATCACTAGCATCGTCACAAGCATTATGACGTCACCAATTTCTAGTTTGACGCAACGATCACCGCAGAGTTTGTCTCCCTAGGGAATTCTTCCCGAACTCATCTCTTCATTTCTACAGCAATTTTTTTCTTTGGTCTTTAGTTCTACTATTTTGTGTCTTTTTCTTTTTTGTTGTATTTTTGGTTTCTATTCCTAATCAAAATGCAGACGCGAAAAACTGTGACGTCATCGCGTGCGTCATCATTGATGTAGTTGTCAGATGTTGTCGATGGCTGGCCTCTTCTCAATTTACTGACATTGTTTAGTTCTCTTTTCTTTGCTTATTTGTGCTCAATTTTAACATTTATTATTTTAAATTTGTCTGAAATAATTTAAAAATCGCAATAATTTTTATCATTAATGACGTCATCCAACCAAATCATAACGTAACCAGTAGGAGGCACCATGTAATCATTATCAGTATCATCATCTTCATCATCAAAAAATACATTCACACTAATTTCAACTCAATGCTTCTCGTATCGTTATAGTTCGGATAATTTCGAAATCATTTCGGAAATATTTTATTTAATGTTCACTTGTTATCTTGGTTAAAAGCGCCTGGTTCGGTGGTGCTGAGCCAGAAGTTTTGATTTGAAAGAGAACCTCAAATGTCATCATTAGCGAGAAATTCTCTGACGTTTATTTATACGTATTTGTGTGTACTGTTAGCTTGTGTCGTGTGTGTGTGTATGTATGCGTGCGTGTGTTTGGATGTATGTATATATGTATATGTGTGTCTGGTTGTGTGTTTGTTTGTGTGTGTGTTTGTGTATGCATTTGTATGTGTTTACAGTTTCGTGAGTAGACAAGTGTTTAAGATGCACGTCTGAGGAGCATTGTTATTTTCTTTCTATTTATGCTAACGGTTAGAAAAACGGCTGTTGACGATGAAGCTGCTACTGCTGCTGCTGATGACGATGATAATAATGATGATGATGATGACGACGATGACATGATGATGGTGGTCATCATTTTTAGGAGCTTATAATGAATGATTGGGCTAAAGATTTTTAAAAATGTGATGAGGATGGTGATGGAAAAAATGAAGTCAGTGATGATGACGATGATGGTGATGATGATGGTGAGAAAGATGATAATGATGATGATGGTGAGAAAGATGATAATGATGATGATAATGATCGTGCAGAATGGAGACGGGCAGTGTCCTCCTGCTTGAGTTATAAGCGCGTCAGTGCCTGTCCTAATTGCTTATTCAACTTCTAAATAAAGAAACATTTGCTCATAAGAATGCGAGCGAATTTCTCCATCTGTATTTACACGTGCGTGTGTATGTGTGTTTGTTTGTTTGTATGTATGTATGTATGTGTGTAAGTATGTGTGTGTGTATTTATATGGGTAGAGACAAATATAGCGGCTATTTAGATGTGAATAAGAAAGAATTAAGAAGTTATTTAATATCTAGTAATGTGTGTACATATTTTGCTGCACGTAGATAGGTTCGCATAGGTAGGTTCATGCTTTTCATGTTTAGTATTCGCGGTTAAATACTAAACATATATTAAACCAAATTCTGTGCACAATCAGTTTGTATTTACGTTAAAAACATCTGTATGTACGTTGTATATATGTTTTTGTATATATTTAGCAAGTAGCATCACATATACGTGCTAGTAAACAAGAAATCATAAACAAAAGATTTGATAAACACACACCCCCCCCCCCCCCTCTCAAAAAANCCCCCCTTTTAAAAAACCCACAATTAAACACACACACGTATAAACACACAAACTCACCCAGGCTTACATACACATGTACACACATGCATACATACAATTATAACTGGAGACACTTAATGGTAAATGCTTAGCTATCAATTTTTATGCCTATAGGCTTGCCATTAAATAGTTTCTTTTGATGGCGCAATACGTCTTAATAATTCGCTTGTTTAAGTTTTGTTTTTCTTTGCATATTGTTTTGTCTATGTTTTGTTTTATTTATGATGATCGTTTTGTTTATGTTGCGTTTTGCTTATGGTTTTTTGTTTTGTTTGCGTTGTTTATTGTTTTGATTGTTTTTTTTTATCGGCCAATGTTGCTATTTTCAAATCGATCTCTGACATTTTAGAAAACTAAAAACAAGAGATTATTATTATGTGTGTTTCTGCGCGTGCGCGTGTTTGTGTGTGTGTCTGTGTGTGTGTGTGTGTGTGTGTGTGTCTGTGTGTGTGTGTGTGTGTGTGTGTGTGTGTGTGTTCATACTTGAAGTTGACAATGACAATGGTAATTATTGTATTTTTTAATTGTAATTGATGTCATTGCAATCGAAATCACTGTTGATGTCATAAGAGTTCATGATGTCGTCGGAAAGGTTCTAGCCACTACTTACTGGGAAGATAAGATAGATGGTAGGGAGAACATTTATTATGTTTGGTCGTTCTAATGAAAAATTAAGTTTGGCTGTTTTTCTTACCGTGTTTATGTGCGTGTATGTGTACGTGTGTTTGTATGTGTGTGCGTGTGTAAAGTAAAGTATTGGTATTTTCCAATTTAGAAATACTGGTTTGTAAAAGGTCTACACGTACGCACACACACACGCGCACATATATAAAAATGGTTTTTGGGTTCTTTTTCCATTTTTTTTTAATAATTCCCCATATTTATTTATCATATTTAATTGATTTTTTTTGTTTTTCAATTAACGAAAAATGATCTACACTCTGAATGCATTAACATTTATTATTTATAGGCAACCCGTGATAAACAATGTGATTTTGCTTACCCTGCTGTTCATGTGTTTGTTCGTTCATGTGTTTGTTCGTTCATGTGTTTGTTTGTTCGTTTGTTTGTTTGTTTTATTCTCTCAATTTTTTTCTCTATAACCATGTGCAAAATAATTTACACTTTTACACATTAGCGCACACGAACGAAACAACACACACGCGCGCGCGCGCACACGCACACACGTATATGTGTATTAAAGACAAATACATACATACATACCAACCCATCAATATCACCTAATATAATACAAAACATACTATCAATGAGGATATTTTTTATACAAATATTTATCCAACTCTAAAGTTACGTAATGCCATTGTTGTTGTTGCTCTGATGTAAATTCTGTCAGTTGATGTTGTTATGATGCTTTGGTTGATGACCCATTGACTGGGGCACCCAATGTGATAAAAAATTGACGAGCTGGCTGTGTTTATGTGGGCCAAGAATACCTTGAACACTTGTTTTAGGATTCCATGATAAGTACGTATTGTCTTTTGGTGTGTGTGTTTGTCTGGGTATGTGTGTCTGTGCGTGTGTGTGTGATTGTATGTGTGTGTGTGTGTTTATCTGTGTGTGTGTGTGTGTGATTGTTTGTATGTGTAGTGTATGTTTGTATGCTAGTGTTTGCCTACCATTTGAAGATAAATCAATAAATTTACTGTAATGCACACCAAAAATGCGTAACTCTTATTTCTTGGACATATTCTGAAAATATTTTTCAGAATTTGAGTATAGGACAAGTAAAATGTTATTTACAATTAAAAGGAAAAACATGAAGGAGAGAAGGGGAAAGAGAACAGGAAGAAGAAATAAGAAAGAGATAGAGAGAGTGGAAGAGAGAGAGAAAAAGAGAGAGAGAGAGAGAGAAGGTAAGCATCATTTAAAAGTTCTCTCATTCAATTTTGGAAGAGACCTCGCAGTAAGTGCGTGTACGTGAGTCCAATACAAATCCCTGCATTCCTTCGCCTATAAATATGTATGAGTGTGTATATGTGTGTGAGCGTGTGTGCGTGCGTGTGTGTGTGCGTGCGTGTATGTATATGTGTGAGTGTAAACTTAGATTTAAATAACAAAAACAAAATGGTATACAAATCTAACAAACATACCAATACAAAAGAAGTATTAATGTCTGTTGAACAGAACACACAATGCCAACTGCGTGCAATTTAAGTAACTGCAGTTAGAACTGGATGGTTCTTATAAGCTTTCTTTAGTTTGTATAAATAATACAAATTAAAGTTTGTTTGTATGTGCTTGGTTGTATATGTGTGTATGTTTTTATAATATATACGTATGTCTATGTGTGTTTATGAACACTTGCTGGGATGTTGTGTTATAATTGGACTTAAGCTGATATGCACAAACAGGTTTGTATTTGAGAGTTTGGTTTGTATGTTTGTTTGCATGTTTGTTTGTTTATTTGTATGTATGTATGTATGTTTGAATGTTTTGTATGTATGTATGTATGAATGAATGTTCTGTATGTACGATGTATATGTAAGTACGTGTGTGTGTATGTATGTATGTATGCATGTCTGTATGAAGCATAAACGAGTAAATAATTATAATACAAATGATTGATTACTCTTGGACTCACATAATTTGATAATTTCTGTCCGCCACATATTATCGCTCACTGAATCAGTATTGCGCCATTTATTTATTCTTTGGTCGATGAGGAGTTTTTATTCTAATTTTTGTTTCTTTGCTGTTGTCATTTTGTTCTATTTGCACGTATTTGTACATGAATACTTTTAAAAGACAAATATATACGCTAAAAGATATACATGATATGTGTACAAGTTTGTATGTGTAACTATTTAGATGTTGATGCGTGTGTATATATATATATATATATATATATATTTATTTATTTATTTATTTATATTCATATATGCGTGTACGTACACGTGTGTCTGTGTGAGACTGTGTGTGAGAATATGTGTGTTTGTGTGTATGTGTGGTGTGTGTGTGTGTGTGTGTGTGTGGTGTGTGTGTGTGGCGTGTGCGTAATTCGTAACAAGTTCCAGAATTCAATTGAACACCAGAAGAATAAATTTCTTTCCGGGAATGTCTTCCATTTGTCCCACAGTCTGGAAATTGAAATTTTTTTCGTCGCCACCATTGCCATCACCACCATCCTCATCAATGATGACGTCATCGTTATCATCAAAAACTTACCATCTTCGTCGTCGTCATCAACCTCATCTTTGTTATCATCGGTGGTTTTTTCGTTAATAAAATTACTATCATCATCATTGTTAACATCAACAAAATTGCTCGGGCACTTGTATACAAACGAAAACACACACGCCATACAAACACACACACACAAAAACACACACACACATATTTTTTCCCATATATAAGCTTCACACGCGCACATACACACACTTACGTACATTAACACATCACACATATATCTTTCCCGCCCCTTTGTTCAACATTTACATTTTGGCGGCCCAACAATAATAAAAATTGATACACACACGTACGAACACTCACACGCACATCAAACACACATCACACACCCCACACAGATACACCACACATACACAGATACACACACACACACGTACATATAGTTTTTTCAATCATTTATCTGCATAAAGATTATCTTTCCATTCTCTTCCTTTATATTTTTATTTATTAATTTAAGTGCATGCATGCTGATGCGTAATCCTGGCGTTTCGGATTGGTCATATGACTCATCATAACCGGAAGAGGCTTATGTGATGTTGATGATGATGATCTTCAGAATGATGATGATGATGATCTTCAGAATGATGATGATGATCTTTAGAATGATGATGATGATGATGATGATGTTTAAAATTAGGAGTATGATGATGATGATGTCAACGATGATGATGATGATGACGTTGGCGATGGTTAAGACGATGCTCGTTGTTTGCCTTGTTGAATGCGCTGATGTTTGCCTTTTAAATGTCTTCATACTGTTGATACTGACATTGCTATTAAGTTTAAAATTTCACATAACGTTCTAGACTTTGTTAGCACTGTTGGCTGGAAATTGTTGAAAAAAATTTAGAGTTTGAAATTTTGATTGATAACTTGGTTTATTCGAATGAATTTTCACTTTGGTTTATTTGCCAACAAACATACAAATAACACGCATGCCAACAAACATCCTGACGGCAATTTCAAAATGAATAATTTAAAAAAAAACATAAATTAACTAGAACTTTGCATCACAAAGAAATGCATCTCTAAGAGAAATACTCCCAGAAAAGTGCATCTAAAAAATATTTATAACAAAATCAAATACAGCGTCAACAGTTATAAAATGTTGTTTCTCACCCGGTCTGCTGCTATATCAGCATCCCAAGTGAGGCATTCATCAAATATATAATTCCCGACATCTAGCTACATGCCAGCTATCAACAGAGATCTTATTTGTCGTCAACTGTCTACAAAAATATATTGCCATCAAACACCACAAATTTGTAAAAAATTGTGGAATAATTGTCTTATCTTTTAAAATCGTTTAAAAACAACAACACCATCAATTGTGACTACCTT